TCGAGTCATTTAGCAATTCTGTGTGGAGTTTGCATGTTCTCACCATGCTTGTATGTATTCACCCCTATAGGTGAATTGGGTAAACAAAATTGGCCTTAGTGTATGAGTGTGTGGGAATACAAGAGTGTATGGGTGTTTCCCAGTACTGAGTTGCGGCTACAAGGGCATCCGCTGCATAAAACTCAATTCAATTCATCTTTACTTCTATTGCTTTTTACAAAGTAGATTGTCTCAAATCAGCTCAACATAGAAGTTCTGTAATTTAAAACTGTCAGTCCAGTTTTCAGAGCCAAAGTACAGTTTAATTCAGTTCACTTGTGGTTTAATTTTCACTGCTGCAAGTCCAAACACTCAAGAGCAAATCCATCGATGCACAGCTCCACAAGTCCTAAACCAAGCAAGCCAGAGGCGACATATGCCAGAACAGTTGGCGGTTCATTCCGCTGTGGCGACCCCTGAAAAATATGGGACTAAGCCAAAGGAATATGATTAGATGCTTTTCAACTGGTGAACAACTTCAAAAGCCAAAGAGTGTGTGGTGCTGACTAAAACCAGCACCCTGATACATCTCAAAGTCCCCAGAGTCTTCAGCATGAGAACAGCCTGAGGAACCTGGGCCCCTCCTAGTTCATGTACTGTAGATCACTGTGCCGTGTGTATCTGCATCTGCGTGTACATGAGCAAGTCACACAACTCCATTGTAAACGTTCCTCAACCAACAACAAGCCCAGCACTAATTCTCAACGGACCGCTGAGGTTGGAATACGCAAAGGTCTATTCTGGGACACAATGACATAATTGTTCGAATGAAACAAAAGTACGGAGAACTATCACTTGCACCATTCGTTATGAGAATGTGAGCAAAGATATGATGGCATGGATTGGGAACAGAGATGCTTCCTATTCAAAGACGTAAGCTCACGTATCTAAACAGAATGCATCTTAATGCTCACACCCTAATTACACAATGGTCCAGACAATGGGAAAACAATGTAGGTCAGCTTAAAGACACTGCATACTTTACTCATCTTCGTTCGGAATTCTGTCTTTTCTCCATCACATGTTCTCATCATACCCCATGGCCCCCTGCACTCCACCATCTCTCTTTCTCTCTCTTATAGCTGACCATGTGGTGGGTGTTCATTAATTCATCCCCCCTGCAGTCCTCTGCGTTCCCTCTGGAAAATATTTGCCTCCTGCTCGCGTCACCCCTCCATCCCCCATGCGCCCCTTCTTTCCCTGGCTCCTGCTGTGCGGGACAGAGGGAGGGTAGCATCAGGCGATAGACGTGTGTGTTATGTGTATATAGTTAGAGAAGAGAGTGAGAGAGTGAGAGAGAGAGAGAAAGAGAGAGAGAGATAGAGACAGTGCAAAAGTGGCTTTCTAGTCCCATACAGATCCCAACTTTAACCCCCACAAGTGCACTCCCGCCTCCAGCTGGACTCTTCCCAGGGAAGCTCCACGTCTGGTTCAATCACAGCCCCCTCCATCCCACCACTGTCCCCCCAGTCACCCTTTATCAAAGCTTGGACTGAGACTATACGTAACACACTGTGGTTACAATCTGTGAGTCAAAAGTGGAAAGACTAGAAGATAAGCAACATAACGTGGTTCATTTGTGAAACATTCTTTTGAAATCAATTCAACTATGTAAATGTTAAAACAACAGCAAACTATGTCATTTACATTATTAAAAAACTTTAAAGGATATTGAGATGCATTTAAATATATTTATTTGTTGTTGCTGTTGATGTTGTCTTCATTGTTTTTGCTGTGAATTCACAGTATGTTTCATATAAAAAGTGAAACATGAAACTAAACTTAATTTAAGAAGTGTACATTTGTTTCCACTGGTTGTATTTCATTTGAAAAATGTTTAAAAATGACAAAGAAATCTGGATTTGCAAAAAGGGGAAGATTTTTTGAACACACTTTAAAATGAAAGTTGTTCAAAATTAGTAAACCGGTTTAGTGTCATACGGAGAGCTGTTTAGTAGTGCTCATAATCATGATCATGGGGAGAAACCTTATAAGACAGATTAAGAGGGGGGCTGCCGCTTGTCCTGTCTGCTGGAGCTCATCCGATTACAGTGCCACCTCTCTCACTTTGCCAAAGACGACACATACTCATATGCACAAACACACAAGCATGCCATACAAAGCTCGGTTCACAGATGAAATGATTTGAAATTACTCACAAATGAAGTGACACAAACAATACACATTTATGTAAACAGTGCAGCAAAAAAAAACTGAATTTAGTTTTCAATGAAAACAGCACAGACACAAAGACACTCTAATCTGGCCATAATCCCCTTCTGGTGCCAAACACCACATTCGGTTCATTGAAAGTGATTCATAAGTTGTTATTTATGTCTATATCTTGATTTTAATCATGGCACAGAAGGTTGGCTCATCATGGATACAATTTTAAAGGTAAATAAAAGATTTCAATATTAGTTTCAGGTACAGACGTACTGAAGAACAAGATGTGCTAACTCGTTATCGCTTTCTGATGTTTAGCAGCTTCTAAAACATTGGGAATACTGTGACAGTAAGCATGGAAAAAGAGCAATACTGCCATCTTGTGGCAAAACAGCACATTACCTAAACTAAAACTAAGATCTAAAAATATCCACAACCTGGGGAGCGTTTCCCAAACAACATAACTCGCGGCTGAACTATCATAGTACGATGCATCGTTTGGAAAAAGAATCCAATATTGGTTTCGGTAAAAACATACACTCGTTTTCAATATTAATTAAAATATATGTAAATGGAACATTTAGGCCTTGTGTTTTCTTAACAAATATTGAGAACATTAAATTTTCTGTTCTAAAACATAAAAACACTTACAAAAGCTAACACATATTCTAATATCATATATAAATCATATAAATAAATAAATAATGAGGCTAAGAAATGAAATTTTATATTTAGAATTTATTAGGAAATTTTAAAAATCCTACTTTAATAATAATATTAATGATGATTATCATTATTAAGCAGGATATTGTTTATTTATTTTGTATTTTTTGAAAATTCTACTTATACAATTTGACCACAGCAGAAAGTTCTAACCAACAATCTCATGTCATATACAGTACAGATACTTAATAAATAACCTACTATAAATTTAAAGCAATAACGTATGCTATTTGCTCTGGAGACGTAACATAAATTCCACTTTTAAATAATAGGTCACCTTTAGTTTTCATCATGACCCATAGCTGTGTTCAAAATAACATCAAGGTTTTTAAAGTGCACTGCGAAGGGAACGCAGTTGTAAACTTGAAGATCGCTAAAACTGAACTGTAAAAATACTTTGAAAGCAAATTACAACTATGAGAGATGACTTTAATGCCTTTTATTAAACAGCTCTAAGCGTACAAGTTTGCGACGCAGTTTGCGAATGTTCGTTGACACAATGGATTTAGGAAATGGCAAGTCAACAAACTATGTTTGTAACAACGGAACTTGCGACCTTAGTTGGCTAACAATAGTTTTCAGAAAGGCATACCTGATCATTTTCTTTTACAGAATTACAAAAGGAAATTAGTTTTTTCAAAAATAAATAATGTTTTGTCCATCTCACTGTTCTGAAAGAGTGTATAGCATATTAGAAAATGTAGCAAATGCAAGTTTACAAAAAATGTATGTTTCAAAACATTTTCTGATAATAAAATATGGCCAAATATTCAACTAAATATTTTTGTTAAAGTCCAACCACAAAGTTATTCTGAACTGAACTTAATAAAATATATAAAGGTATAAATAAGTTAAAAAAACTGATGTTTTAATGTATATATTGTTGTTCCATATTACACTGAATGAGAGAAAAAAATCATTAGATTAGAATCAGATTTTCTTTTTTGATTATACAAAAGACTGCACAGGACAAAAATGTAAAGATGTATTACACTTTTACAGCTGTGATGCTTAAAGTGAAGATAAATGAGTGTTTATGCAAGTGATCACTAAGAGACCAACTAAAAGACATCTCACTTTCTCTTGATTTATCATTTGAGTGTAAGTTAAATATTTTAATGTTTGTTTATAGTATAAAGGTTTTTTATCAGAAAAAGTATGTATATAAAGATATTTATAGTATTTGCTTCTTGTTTTTTTTTTTTTTTTGTAGTTGCAATCTTACATTATCTCCTTATAGTATAGTGTAAATAGTATAGTGAAGATGTGTGTATGTGTATGTAACTAAGAGATGGTCACATTCTCTCTTTTGATTATTCTGTTGATCTATACTATTTTATTGTATTTCGTTTTCTGAAAATGCATGTACAGTTAAAGTCAGATTTATTACCCCCCCCCAACCCCCCCCCCCCCAATTATTAGCCCCCTGTTTATTTTTCCCCCCAATTTGTTTAACAGAGCCTCTTTCAACACATTTCTAAACATAATAGTTTTAATAACTCATTTCTAATAACTGATTTATTTTATCTTTGCCCAGATGACAGTACATAATGTTTGACTAGATATTTTTCAAGACACTGTTATTCAGCTTAAAGTGACATTTAAAGGCTTAAGGATAATTAGGTTAACTAGGCAAGTTAAGTTAATTAGGCAAGTTATTGTATAACGATGGTTTGTTCTGTAGACTATCGAAAAAATTAATTTATTTATTCTAGCCAAAATAAAACAAATAAGACTTTCTCCAGAAGAAAAAAATATTATCAGACATACTGTGAAAATGTCTTTGCTCTGTTAAACATAATTTGGGCCATATTTAAAAAAGATATAAAAATCAAAGGGGGGCTAATAATTCTGACTTCACCTGTATATAAACAACTACTTTGTCTCTATAATCTCAAATATTTAGTTCCCGATTTCTGTTGTGGTTGCAATTTGAAATGTTTCTCTTTGAAAATAGTGTAAATCTGATGCACAATTACAAACCAGTAGGCATGTGTCAAATTATTCACCAAAATAGAAATGCCATCATCTCCAAAATCTCAATTGATGTTAAATTATATCAAACATCTTACCCAACTTGTACGTGAGGACATAGAACATCGTCCATGTTGTTCCTGGCACCGATAACAGCTTCCTCCACACCTTCCAGGGCTGCATGAGATCCTTTGACCCTCTCCGTCCTTCTCCCTGTCCCCGCGCCGGCTCTCCATCCAACACCGGGGCTCCCCAAACGAACAGAGCGACACCACCGTAAACACAGGCCAGCAGAGCAAACATCCATCCCCAGCCTGCAACATCAATCACAGCCAGGAGCCCCCCTCCAGCAAACACAGACCCGGCTTTATAGCCCACCACCTGCACCGTGTTGCCCAGACCAAGCTCTCCCTGACCTCGGAGCAGCCGAACTGCAGCTCCGTCTGCCGCTATGTCCTGTACAGATGCCAGCACATTCATTGCAAGCAAAGAGCCTGCGACACTCATGTACTGAACATCGGGTGTGATGGTGGCACTTAACAAACAGGTCATGGCCAAACCCGCCACTGTGCCCACCAACCAGCAGCGTTTGGTGCCTGTCCGGTCCACCAGAGGGGCCCAGAGGACCTTGAGCACCCAGGGGAAGTAGAGGATTTTGGTGAGGCTGATGCGGGTGAGAGAGTGACCAGCACCACGCAGGTAAACCGGGAGCAGGGACGACTGCAGGCCATAGGGAATGCCCTGGATGAAGTACAGCAGACCCAGGAACACCAGCTTGTCGTTCATCATGGAGAAAGGCTGGTTTGGGGAGCCTCAGCTCATGGCTGTACTCTGTAATAGACATGAATTGATTGAGTGATATGGATTTGGAAAGTAGGGTTGGGTGATTAGTCGAAAAAGAAATCGAAATCGACATTCAGAACCTATAATTAATCAAATTTTTCCAGATCAAGTTTTTAAATTACTTTCCCTACCTCCTGTGGAGTCATGTGACCCTGCTCTGTTAAGGCTGATTTATACTTCTGCGTTGAATACACTGGTAGAGTCTGGCGCAGCTTTCGTGCGATCACATACACCACCTCTTAAAAAAACTACACGTTACACGTTTGTACTACATTGACGATAATTAGTAGCTGCGCCAGAGCTGCATTGAAGCGGCATTTTTTTATGGCAATAAAATGATTATTTCCATTAAATTATTTGTTTATAGAAGATGCAAGAAATGCAATGTTTAAAATATTATTTACATGATATACAGGTTATTTTATTTAGAAGAGATGCTGTTTATTTTCTACTTTTAACATGAAAAACATTGAAAATAATTTTTTTTTTCAAAAAGTGCAAGTTATTTATTTTCGCTGTTTTATAAGAAAAAAAGTGACTGTTCGTTTGAGGCAATGTGTGTTTTATTTTCAGTTGTTCAACACTGATGGTCAATAAATTGTCATAGATAGTAGATAGTGTGTGTTTCCTTCAACTATTTTAAAATTAAGTAATGCACCGTTCATTCTAAAATCTCTGATTTGTAATATGTGAGTATACTTACTGTACAAAATTTGTCAGTAAACTATAAGGGCAGAAAAAAAAAATATATGAATTTAGGGCTGGGTGATAAAATCAGTATCGATATTTATTGACCGAACACCATTGTCAATATCGATTAAAAAAATCTGGTATGAAGCGCTATAGTTTTATTAAAAATATGGCTGCTGAGAGCGTGCCTTGGAAACAGTGCCAATAAGCTTAGGGTATAAGTTTGTCATTTACAATGGAGGCACACAAAGCCTGATGGAAGCAAGGTGCACATGTTGTGCAAGTGGCGCACATGTGACTTTTTAGCTTTTTTAGCGTAGTGGGTAATGTAGTCATTCAACTTCACAATTTGTAACGTTGCAGTATGTATTTGAATAATGATGGTCAGTTCCTTTACTTGAAAACTCAGATTTGATTATCATAATTTGTTTAGTTTACAGAGATTGAGGTTCACTGTAAAGTTATTATTCACAACTTACATGTGTTGATTTACTTTAAAGATTGCTTTATTTGTTCAGTAAACGCATTACTATTGCACACACTTTGCAACATTTTATTTATCAAGTTTCAGAGTCTCTTTAACACTTATGTTTATTTTAGTATCAAAATTTCATTATCATTTTTTTTGGCCCTAAATGATATAATCATTCATTATTCGTAATCGAATTAAAATGTTCAATTAATCGAGATTTTGATTTTGATTTTAGGTCAAAAGCACCCAGGCCTATTGAAAAGTTACCTCCATATTGACCTTATAATAAAGCTGCATCATACTGAGAAAATGGGTGACGTGATATTGTTGATGAGCGTTGCGATTATGATATTTCTTACAAAATAACTTGCAAAAATGCTATTATATCAGTTTTTTTTTATTATATAGTGATCATATTAAAATAAAGCTCAGAAAAATATATCTTTTTGAGCTAAATAAATAAATAAAAACTATGTAAAAGTGCAAACCTTTAGATTTGAAAACACAAATGACTGAAAGTCCAGCAGAAATTGTTTTTTTTTATTGGCTGTTGGCATTTTCCTCTTGTCCTCCTGCATTAGTTTGTAGAGATGTATGGATGAAGATAGTAAGGTTCCATCTGATTTGATAAACAAACTTTCCATGCAGCACACAAATGACTGGCCAATAAAATGAATTTAATTTATTGTACTTTTCAAAATTCATGTTGATGGCTTATTAAGGGTTTTTAGAGATCTTTTTTTCCACTCCAACATAAAAAAACTGAGAACAGATAAAAACAAATGACTTTTTACCATTGCTGTAAGGAACAAAAAAGCTGTATAAACCAGAATGAGATATGAACAATGAGATATGAACAAAACTCCACTGTAAAACATTATGAATATATTGTAAAAGGGGATATTATTAGCCCTCCAGTGAAATTTTTATTAGTTTTTAAATATTTCCCAAGTGATGTTTAAGAAAGCACAGATTTTTCCCACAGTATTTCCTATAATTTCTTCTCTTTTTCTGGAGAAAGTATTATTTATTTCAGATTAGCTAAAACAAAAAAAGAAAAAACAATGTTTAAGTTTAATATTATTACCTCCGCAGCTCCGCTTAAGATATATATTTGGGTTTTTTTGTTTTGTTTTTTGATTGGATACAGAACAAACCGCTGTTATTCAATAACTTCAAATAACTAATAATAATAATTATCTAATTAATAATCTTATCTTATTAATAATCTATTCAATAACTAAAAAACCTTAAGCTCCACCCCCTGGCGCCTAAACCACAGCACAAGAAGTTAGGCCAGAGGAGAAATGGTCATTCCCAACTAAGGCAGGTTTCTCTCAAGGTTTTTTTTTTCCATCACTTCTTCAATTAATGAAGTTCCTCGCCAAATGGCTTGCTTGGTTTGAGACTTGTGGAGCTGTGCATCGATGGATTTTCTCTTCAGTGTTTGGACTTTCAGCAGTGGAAATTAAGCCATACTGAACTGAACTAAAGTGAACTTCAACTCTGAAAACTGGACTGACACAGTTTCAATTTACTAGAACTTCTCAATCTACATTGTAAAAGCGCTATAGAAATAAAGACGAATGAATGAATGAAAATATTAAATACTGTTATCAAGCAAAGACAAATCAAATTAGTTCATGTAAATTTGTTATTTATTATGTTTAAAATGTGTTGGGGTAAAATCTTCCCCATCTTAAACATCCCTTCGGAAATGTTTGAAAAAGAATTAGAAAATTAGAGGAGAATCATTTTGACTTCAACTGTATAAATTAAACTGGAAGGTTTGATGGAGTTTAAGTCGAATAATACTAACAACATTAATGTATGGTAACTGACATCACCAGAACAGACACATACAGTGCTCGCATATATAAGTACACCACCCAGACAAATCTCCCATTTAAATTAGTATTTTCTATAGGATGCTTTACAATTTTATATTTGTGTATATACATTTGTTTAGTCAGTACTGAAGCCAAATCTGGAGCTAATCTAAAAAAATATCTTACAATATGGTTCACAATTAGTAGCCCAAATGTATATGTTATAGAAATATATATATTTTTTTTAATTCAAAAATAGCAAAAAATCACGAGAAACAAAATATAAATACAATTTTGTTGAAATGTTTGATGAAATTTGTAACAGGAAATTTTTTTTTAATATTTTGCATGGATTAAAATGTATTATCTTTCCATTTTGATAGATGTTCTGTGACTAAAATATTGTTTTAATACATATATATGTTTAATAAATCTGTTTGTATGCACCAATATACCATATTCACTGAGAAATGGATAATTTTGAAAATATTCATTTTCATAATGGAGTGTATTAATTTATGCTGAGTACTGTACGAGTAATAAAATAAGCATCTATTTTTTATACGTGTTTTAGACGTCTCTTTAATGTCTGAATGTGTCATGCAAAAATAGACCAAAGCTGACTTGTTCTTGTTTAAAACAATGGTTTTGTCTGCAATAACACACACACACACACACACACACACACACACATACACATACACAGTGGTTCATTCATTTCACTTGTCATTCATTCATAACATAATATCACAGGTGGATATTTATGAAATAACTAATGAAACGATGACATCCTTAATAATATCATTCAAAGTCTTTTTTAAGCATTCTGAAAGCTGCTAGAAACTCAAGATAATAATAATACTCATTAAAGCACAAGAACGATTTCATTCTGTCATAAACATTCCATTACTGTCAACAACATATGTTCTAGTTTGAAAGAGTCTTTTCTAGGACAGCAAACAATTAAAACTGTATATGTTAGAATTAACAAAGTACATAAATTAAGTAGCGCAAATGACTTACTGTATTTACATGTAAATATCCTTCACCCGCGGTGCTCGATGCAGCATAACCTCTATTTTCTAACTCGGTACTTCCGCGGGAGCGCGTGACGTCATATACTCCTTCAACAAATCAACTTGCAGCTCTATTGACAGTGTTCACAGCCAACAAATCAACAGCGCCCCCAGTCAATAAAACTGTACTGCAACCAAAAGCTAAAATGAGAAAGACGAGGTTCCTGTTTACATGACATAACACTATGATGTACTTTTTTTCTCAAGTGTTCAGTGAGCAAGGAATGCTAAGATGTCGCATTTGTGCAATTTCACGCAAATGCCAAATCTGCAATAGAAAAAAACAAGTTTTTACATAAATAGTAAATCCGTTTATGCATTTTATTGTGTAAGAAAGTATTGAGTGCTTACTCAGAACTGTCTCTGTCATTGTTTGCAATTCTATTTGATTCACCAAAGTAACATAAGTGGCAATTTCACATCTGTCACATTCATAAAGCCTTTTCCTCAATGCAAACATTTTAAATCAAATCAAATTAATATTTTTTTTGTTCTATAGCAAACCGACTCTTATCCTTTTGATGGGCACTGTCTCTTTTGGCCTGTGCAGTTCAATTCATAGAGTTTCTACACAGTAGGCTATGTTGCATACTGTAAACTCACAAACTTTTTTGGTCATATCCATCCATATTTTCCTCATTTAAAATATAAAAAATGTTTACAGATGGATGTTTTTTGATCCCATAACTCTGTGGTAGTAGTTTTAGAAAACGAAAAGAGATATTTTAATATAATGTTAAAATATACTTTCTTTGTGATTTTTTTTTCTTGAGTTTATACTGCAAAATCCGAAATGCTCATATAGTCAAAATCTCTTTCCTTGCATTCCTACTGTTCCAGCCCAACATGTTTATGTAATAGAAGAGCTTGTACTAATACACACCTTTTTGTTTACTGTCAGTACGTGATGTACCCTACTTCCCTCATTTAACTGAAAGGCTCAATTGGGCATGAATTAGTAAGTGGAAAAAATGTGTTTGTCTAATAAGACACACATACTGTACACTCTCAGAAATAAAGGTAGGTGAGCTGTCACTGGGGTGGTACATTTTCAAGAGGTACACATTTGTACTTAAAGGGTCCGTTTTTGTACCTCAAAAGCATATATTAGTACTAAACATTTTAAGAGGAACATTTTTGTACTACTAATATGTATCCTTGAGGTATTAATATGGAGCTTGAAAATCTAAAAACTTTTAAAAAACATATCTCAAATTTGTCAAGTCATTCCTACTTTATGTATATACATAAATCTAAGTGTTGTTCTTTTAATTGTGCAACACTTTTCAAAAAGTATCTAAAATAAATTTGACTGGTGAGAAATTCTCCAGCAAATTTGGGACAAGAAACAAAACGATTAATAATGATTGGATACGCTTTAAATTACAAGTCTGTAAATATCATAAGAGTAAAAAGTAGAAATACTTTTCCATGGAGGTATGTTTATAAACCCTGTTAAAGAGCATTTATTACATATATTTTCTTGCATCTCACATTATGAAGACATTCAAAATTTACAGACACACACACACACACATTCTGGCATCACAGAGGCGCAGTGGTAGCATGATCGCCTCACAGCAAGATGGTTGCTGGTTTGAGCCTTTGCTGGGTCAGTTGACATATCTGTGTGGAGTTTGCATGTTTTTGTGGGTTTCCTCCGGGTACTCCGATTTCCCCCATTTTTCCCCAAAGACATGCGGTACAGGTGAATTGAATAAGCTAAATTGGCTGTAGTTTATGTGTGTGAATGAGCGTTTATAGGGTTTTCCCAGAACTGGGTTGCAGCTGGAAGGGCATCCGCTGTGTAAAACATATGCTGGATAAGTTGGCGATTCCTTCCAATGTGGCGACCCCAGATTAATAAAGCGACTAAGCCGAAAAGTAAATGAATGAACACACACATTCTTTCTTATGAATCTTTATTTATCAAAAAGTTTTTCATTTTGTTATAGTTGCTTGTTGTGTACGGGGTTTTTATTGCATATATTGACATCTGGTGGATCTTCGTCTGTATGCATTTATTCTTGACAGAAATTAATTGCCACACAATGCTAGCAGGATCGTCTCATAATCTCCTTTGGTGTCATCCTAAAACAAACAAAACACAATCTTTCACTTAATATTTACAGGCAGGATCATATAATACCACTTGCTATTTTTTGTGTTTATATATTGAGGAGAATAATGTGTAACAAAATGTTTAATGAGACATAATTACCTGGATATCCTGGTAGAGGCTCTTGCCATACTTCTTCTGATACTCTTGCTTGATGTTGGCCAAGTCAATCTCAGAGCGGCTCACCAATATCCTGGTCAAGATCTTGCCTCTGTAACCAGAGCCCTGTGAAAATAAAGTCACACTCAATGATTCTGGCAGGTTATCAGTTGTCATTTTAAAAGCTTAACTCAAGTGAGAGAAATTGAACTATAAAATCACACTTGCCTTCATTGCTAGATTCAGTTTCTCAGCAAAGAAAGCAGGTTTGTTTGAAACACATTTCACTGTAGAAAAAGATGACAAGTCACTCATAGGTAAGCACAAAAATATTTCTGCCATTCAAAACGTCATTAAAAGACTTTGCTTTCTGTTTCATTGCTCAGAGCTCTGCCTTACAAATAACATTCCTGTTAATTGTAGCTTAAAGTAGAAAGTACACATAAAAAAGTATTCTTCTCATACTATATGGAAGTATTTAAGACTTAAAAGGTACAGTATGTCTAAGTGCTAAAAAATATGTCTGCAGTCAGAAATTGCAGTGAACTTATTAATGTGCTTCATACTATTTAAAAAGCAATATTTACTAATAAAGACAACCATGAAGGTTTCAGAGTCTCACCAACAGCAATCAAGCAGCTCTCAATATCACCCTTTAACTCTAGGTCAATGGCTTTGGCGACGTCCACTTTACTGTACTTGTTGTACTGCTGAAAAACTAAATATAAAAGAAACACAGTACATTATTATCAATAGCAAAGCACATTAGAAGACAGCTGCATTTGGTAGCAGGTATATGGAGGTCAACCATACCTTTCCTCAGATGAGGACCATTGCGTGAAGTGAGGATGTCAATGAACACTGAACAGTCTGTGCCTTTTCTCTTCTCTCCTGCTTCATACAAGGCCTACAGAGCAGAGTGAGAGGTCAACACAGATGTATGTACAGCAACAATTAATGTCCTATAAGGGTTTTCACTCTAAGTCAAATGTCAAACTCCTTTACTTTTCCCTCACTAAAAAGCTGAACTGACATAATATACATTGAACATAAAGAGTTATAAAGTAGAGCAGTCTCTCCAGAATTTTGTGATTATGGGATTGCCACATTTAAAGCAAAATCAAGCAAATGGCGCAAAATTCAGATGAGCTTGCAATTTTTATAACTGGTGCAGATATACTGCATATTTTGGCCAGCCAGGAAATAAATAGTTTCATATTAAATATTATTGTATTTGCATAAAGAAAGTGATCCTCCAGTGGGTAATACCGTGAGCGACACTCCTCCATACAATCTCAGTAATAAAGGTACAAAATGTGAGGGCGGTACCTTTTCAAAAGGAACATTTTTGTTCCTAGCAGGTCCTTAAAGGTACATATTAATACGTACAAATGTGTACCTCATAGTACTTTAAAAGGTACAAAAGTAAACCTTAAAGGTACAAAAGTAAATCTTAAAAGTACAAAAGTGGAAATGTTTACCTGTATGGTACAAAAGTGTACCTTTTGAAAAGGTACCGCCCCAGTGACAGATTTTGTACCTTTATTTCTGAATGTGTATGTATGTGACCTGTTTTAGATGCATTATGTGATAATATCACAACATTCATTCAGCCACAGCAAGAAATGTCAAAAATACTGACTCAAATTTAAGAAAAGACGCCCAATTTTAGGCCCACTAGACATAAATGATCCCTACAAAATGCAGGAGGGACTGGTTGATCACTTAGCAGACAAAACTAAAAACTGCTACAGATAGTATTTTAACTGGTACAGCCAGTTTAACAGGTTAATTACCAGTTTAAAAATGAAAATGGCAGTGAAAAACAACCTTACCCTAAAAACAACAGGTAAAACAAACAAACAAGCAAACAAAAACACATTTTTATAATAATTAATTCTTTTAAAATATCATGGTATTCCAGAAAACTAATGACCCTTGGGAACCCGGACCTAATATAGCATGTTATTAATTACCCTTGCGTCTTTGTCGGCCAAGTCATCTTTCACAATATTGTCCTCACTTCTGGTAGCCTGTGAATTCAAATAAAAAGTTGAGCAATGGAGTTTTGTGCTGATTCAAGTCACAAATCACTTTACTTGCAGAATGCAAAGTGTCTGATATGGAAGGCTTCCAAAATATGCAATACTGGGAGAAGCAGAATTGAGAAATTCTACCAGAGTAATCTAAAACAGATCATCTTATATTAGAAAATTCAACCTTGCAGAGGGAAAGCAGGGCATTCCTGAAGTCTCCACTTGTATCAGACTTGATATCTGCCTCCAGGTCCTTTTTATACTCTGTAAATGAAAGTCATATATTCATTTTAAAAATACAAAACCAATAAAAAACCAGGGGCTGTCCTATTCTGCTCCTATTCTGGTTCCAAAAATAATTAAACACACCTGAACCAACAAAACAAGATCTTCAGGATTACTAGCAGCTTTCATGCAGGTGTGAACAGGATCACTCTTAAAAATACAGCTTTCAAAAGAGGGTTTTCACTCTGAGAGAAAAAACCATGGTATCCCAAAGAATCTCCAACTATAAATGTATCAATTCTTCAAAAAAGAATCCCTTCACTTCAATTGAACACAAAAGAAGATATTCTGAAGAATGTTGGAAACATGTAACGGACTTCCACAAAGTGTTTACTACTATGGATGTCAAAGGCTGCTGGCTTCCAGCATTATTCAAAATATCTTTGTTTGTGTTCAACAACAACAACAACAACAAAAAATCTTAAGAAAATTTTTATTCTTTTGAGTGAACAATTACTTTAAAAGGACTGCTTATTTCTTATGATGAACATTTTCGGTGATAAAGAACTTTTTTGTAGATTGCAAAGGTTCATTAAGTTTTAATGAATCTCTTTCGTAATTGTGAATGCTGAAAAAGAACCTTTATTCTTAAGTGTGTTTGGGCTAATTCTGCTGAATGTGTGAACTATAACAGGACACAAACATCTGCAAAGGATTACAGGCTCATAATATTGTTTACCTTGTTTGTAAACCTGTTTGATATCTCCGATCTCCTTATTGGTCCTGGACGCCAAAATCTCAATAAGAGTATCTTCAGTTGTGCCAGCACCCTGAAGATGAAAAATAGTAGTTTTATATGGAGACAGAGTAAAACAAATAAGTTAAGTCATATTTAAATTCTAGAGCTGTGGCAAAAAATATCAAATAATAATAATAATAATAATTGATAATAATAATAATATCAAATCAAAATATAGTGGGATTCTCTCTTGGATTGATTGAGCTTGGTTTTAACAACAGATGGCACTCGAGGCTAGATGTTAACTTTCTTAACAACGTTTCAGCACAGCTCTATTAATTTTCAAATATGACATTACCTTCATGGCATATTTGAGCTGGAAGGCATCATACTGAGCTGGAGTCATCAGCAGACCCAGAACCACATCTTCAAGCTCACCTTTCAGGGCATTTTTCAGAGCGACATCTAGAGGCTGTATGAAGAGGACAGGTTAGATGAGCGAGAATATGGAAAGTAATATTGTGTTCATTTCAGGTGCAGAAAATATAATACCTTGCTAGTGGCTTGCTGGTAAGCAGCCTTAATTTGCTGGCGCTGGGCATTGCTCCTGTGGACCAGTGTATCAATGATTGTGGGCTCATCCACACCTGAGAGCAAAATTGACTGTCAATAGAGCAATCATATGATTGTACAGAATGTTTGGACATGCAAGGGTTTCATATATATTTCAGAATTCATACAGATACATATACCTTTTGCTTTGATAGCTTTGTCCAGGACGGCTGCATCTGCAGCTGCGTTAAACTGAGCATAGGGCTTCACCGTTCCTTGTACCTCCTAAAGACATGACAGACAGAAGTTTATTTTTTTTAAAAACCTTTTAACCTTAACTTCCTCATTCATAGTAGACTAGTTGAATAATCAGATTCAATTAAAAGAAAAAAAATCAAGAAACAAATCTTAGGAAGAAAGCACAGAAATACTGAAACGTTTGCAAATAACAGGATGAACGTGGCTAAAATGGGGAGTGGTGTACATTCCTATCGCTGACTCATTCAGCTTGGTACTGCTCAGATTTTCCAGAAAGTTGAAGCAAACTTACTGTGATGTCTTGTACTGTGGTCTCTTGCATGCCCTGATAGGCAAGCTGCTCGAGAAATGAACTGACGAAGGACATGTTGACAACTGGAACTCAACAGCTAAACCTATATATTAGAATATGTATTAGAATATGACAAAAACATATCAAAAAGTAATAGGAAAACTAATCACAGAACTACACTTTTAAGAGAATGATAATCTTATAAAAGTTTTTAGGAAGTACATGAGAGACACAGTAAAGTCTGACAAGTCAAAGAGCTACTGAAAATGACAAAACAGTTAATAAAACCGAGATTTAAAGCTTAAAGTGTGCAAAAAACGTCCTGAAATCTATTGCGCAACATTGTAGCATAACTTTCTTCAGCAATATTTTCTTATTTGCATATCCATTTCCAGTAAATAAAAACAACGCTGTTATAACTATGCAACAATGATATATCTTTTTAACAAACTGACAACACTGGCTATTAAATGAAGGGTAAGAAATATAGATAATCCCCACTTACCAAGAGCGAATGCACAGCAAGCGAGGAGGAGAAAAGATTTGAGCTGTATTTATACTCACAGAACCACACCTAGCAACATCAGCCGAACTGTTGCGCTGCAGTTGGGCGTTGAATACTTTCCTCCTTCCCCTATTAAACACGCGTTTCACTGGCAACCTTGCCAAAAAGAAAACAGTGGGCTGCATAGTTTCTTCTTCTACTTCTTTTAAAGAGACAGTCGGTAATTTGTTTCCTGCTTTTAAACAGGCACCTTGATAAATGAAAGGGGAACTAATATCAAATAGATATTTAAAAAAAACATGAAAATAAATCTATACCCTAGTGAGATGCTGAAGACGTATTAGCACCATTATCAAAACTGTTGCATTTTACATGGATTCAGACTTATCCTTTGATAAGTGAATAAATTAATCTCCGCTGAATTTCTCCATCTTACAGAGGTCATAGACACACATATTAAACATAGTTTATTAGCGAAATTATGATTCTTTTCATTTTAAAAATTAGCCTATTTGAGTAACTCCTGCCATAGATCTGCCATATGCCTATTGTTTAGCCGTGGCATGACAGTCAGCCATATAGTAAACAAAAGCCAGACATTGTCTATTACACATTACAGCCTGACATTTTTTTTTTTTTTTGAGAATTCTTGTTGAATGTATTTTGAGCTTTCATCACAAATTCAAGGTAATTTCAGAGCAGATTACATTTAAATTACACATAAATTAATTGAAACTATAATTTTACATACTCTGGCATTTTACATACTATATTATTTCACTTCATATTTAATCATCTTAGGTGTGTTAATTTAGTTAAGTGCATCTGGGTGTAAAGCAATAATTAAATGAATGTTTTCTTATTGTATGCGCAAGAACACAATAAACACAAGGTGCTGCAGTTGTTGATAGATATTTCTGTTTTTGGACAAAGCAATGAAAGCTTGCATTTGTTTAGCAGAAAACAGAAACTAAAATCCCTTTTGCCAAAAGTACACACTGTGAAATTTGTTGATATGGCTACATGTCTTCAAGTATGTAAAATGGAGGCATTTATGCAATATTGCAAGCACATTATCTGAACCTTTTTACTGAATTCATTTGTCTGTACTTTGTTGCGCAAACTTGTGATTCAGTGGAAATGACAACACATTTTAATGGCAAACATTAAAGAGCAACTCCTGAGGTTCTAAATGTGCATTCCTCTGTACACACTAACAAACTGATAACAACCAGACTACACACATATCAATTCTCATTTCTAACAAAAGTTTGACTGTTGGAAAAGTACAGCCTTTAATTGCTGCTTTGTTAATGCAGGTTTGTGATTAGCACTGCCCAAACAGGTCTTGACATGTTTTCTGCCTTTTACATTTTTACAATATTTCCTCACACCTTCATTTTTGACCATGTAAAGGTCTCTGGAATTCTTTTGACATGCATGCATCAGTCATGGAATTTGTGATGTTCAAACTTTTCTTACTAACATCCGCAGGTACATCTGATATTGATCAAGTTGCACAGTGTGATTTTAATATGTGCTGGAGTGCATATGCACATTTTTCAACATATGCACAACTCAGTAATGTCATTATAGCAAGTGTAATTCACTTAATAGATTTAGTTCATGCTACAAATAACTTTTTTCCACACCATGAGAAGTATAATATTTGATTGAGACTAAATTTGCTTTCAAATCGTATAGGTACACACAAACTTTATGACCAAAAATATCTGACCAAAAAAATGCTATAAGAAACTGCTAAACCTTGTTATCTGTATGCTATTGGAAATGTGACTTGAATAGTAAGATTTAAAATGATCTAGTACATTAAATTATTTTAGTTATAATTATTATGCTATATTAATATGTATATACACTGTACATGGTATGTATAGAATACAAATTTAAAACTAAACTCATTTATGCAGGGTAATGAAATGTCTCAAGAACCTGATGTTGAATCTTGTGATTCTCAATTGATTGACAATATTTAATCCATTTAATCCAGACCACCACAATGCAGGTTTTCCATTAGCATTGTCCTGTAGAGATGGACTGTTGTAGATCACATTACAATCTCGATCTTACACACAGGAAACCTGATGATAGTCTTCAGTTTGTGTTGGCCATCCCCCCTGAAACCTCATCCACCGAGCTTAATATTTAACAAGTGTTGAGAGTTCGGTTCCTCACAAAAACAAGCATCTTTCCAGTTTTTCTCTGTAATGTTCGCTAGTCAGGTCTTCCTACAGCTCAAGAACTCAGGTAATCTCTCTCTGATTTAATTATTTGTTCATCATTTCTTTAATCAGATTTGCAAAGCAGACTGTGACTGTTTCGCTGATTATGTTAATTTTATCACTCACTTCCAACAAAAGCTATCAATGCAAGTGTGTATGTCTTTTATGCCCAGAGGTGAAAAGATTATAGAGCATGTACATTCATTAAATGATTGCTCACACCCTAAACCATAATCCTTGTTAACGTGATAGTAAAATACTTTCAAAATTTGTAACTGTCAACATCAAATATACAATGCGAGAGATGATGGATAGGGAATATGTATTTCTTAATTCATTTATTTTTTTAAAAACCTAGCATATTAACCTTATTGAACTGCATTGCTTATTTGCATGTCTCTGTGTGTGAAGGAATCATGTACAGTCACCTCTGAGTGTAACCTGCAAACAGTGTTTCAACATAATGTCATGACGTGGTTGGTACTATTTCTAAACAAAACAGATAGGAACCCTCTGGCATGATGTATGTCAATTCTGGAGCAGAAAATGTGTCCATGTCTTTGAACTTCATGGGCAGGAAGTTACGTAACCACACTGTTGCCCCAGCAGCAAAACAACGTAAGTAAACATCACATGTACCCACTCCTTTCGTCACTTGCATTATCAGATTATAGTTTTTCATGCGTATTTGGCTATACAGGGATTGCCTGATCTACTTATGAGTATTTCTACCTGTAGTACTCTTAGTGTATATCAATGTTCTATAGTACTCTCAGTCTTTTTAAATGCTCTGTTGTTCCGTAATTTTAGAACAAAAACTTTATCAAAGTTACTACAGGAGAAGATTAATAAAAAAAATACAAGCAGCTCTGATGGGGGGCACGGTGGCTCTGTGGTTGGCATTTCTGTGTGAAGTTTGCATGTTCTTTCTGTGTTCATGTGGGTTTCCTCTGGGTGCTCTGGTTTCCCCCACAGCACTGCGGCAACATCTGAAATAGAGACTAAATTGAAGAAAAATTAATGAATGAACAACCAATCTGATGACATTCTTTACAATTTACATTAAATTTGCATTCATTAGAGCTTTTATACATGTATATTGATCTTATGTAATACAGATTTTTAAACTTGTATTTTTTAAGTCATAATGCAAAAGTAATGCATATCATAGCCGTTAAATGATTGTTTTTTTTTTTTAAGTGATCTGTCTGATATGAAAATTGGGGGGATAAATTTTGATTATTTTAACTGGTTAAAACCTTTTAGATGTATTTTGTTGGCCATAAGGCATTTTCACTAGGAAAAAAGAGGAAATTTGTAAATGTTTAAATGTTTGACTGAAATAAACACATATTAGGAATCCTCATCCCATTGTGTTCATGCATGCTTCAGAGTATATAACTCGTGAAATATGCTTAGAAATGGCTCTTTTAGATCATTTAGGATAACTTCAAATAAAAATAAGAGACTTTGAAATTTAAGACACATAACAGGGAGACATGATATTGAAGACATTTCAATTTATTTTAAATAAAATTACAAATGTATTTGAACTTTTATTTGATAGAATGTGTTTGGCCAACTCAATTGTATTTAATTGAGCAAATTTTTTATTTTTTTAAAATTTTTTTATGCTAAGCAAATTTATTGTATGGGCATCCTGCCCTCAGTTGAACTGAGTTCATCCAATGAGTTTTTTTTGTGTGTGTATTTTAATGGTTTTATTAAAATGTGTTTTTTTCACTATAGGTGCCTGGGAGACCACTGACCTTTCTCAATATCAGGATGATCCAGCTGTTTCCACCCGTGTGGTACTTTCTCATCCCAATGTGTCATCAGAGGAGCTGCCAGGCAGTGTTCCTGACCTGAGAGAAGAGATTCAGCTGCGCAGACCATGCAACATTCATAACACACTCCTAGACCAGGATAAAAACAGACGTAAGTTTAACTTTCCTGTAACTTCCCAGAATCTAAACATAGCTTAAGCCCTAAATACTGTCTAATATTTGCATAACATTAAACTAAAACCTAATCGATAAAAATCAAAAGAACAGGATCGTTTCAACAATATCTAAACTTAGTCTGATTCATTTAAACCTTCATTTAAACTTAAACTAAATTCAACCTATAAAATGTGTTTATTAATTTACTTACATAGTTTTCTTTTTCTTTTTCTGTATCTTTTAAGCAAGCACAACTGGAACAAACGATTCAGCGTGATGTTTAAGCCACTGAAAATGTCGAGAAGGGACAATAAGTGATTGATCAAGAAGAAACAATAAGTGATTTTTGTACTTAAACAAACCCTATGTATAGCTGAACATAGCAAATGTGTTTTATCATGTACAGTCCTTTTTAAGCAGTGATAAAATGTTTTTTTCCGTGATATTGTGCAAATATTAAGATTAATAAAAAAGTAAGGATGAAACTTTTTACCTAATAAAGTTCATACAGTAATTACTTTGTGATAATCTTTCACTCAATTGAATGTTAACACCTTAAATTTAATGTAATAAAAAAACATGCAATAAAATTAAAAAACTAAAAACATGTATTTGTAAAATAAAAAAAAACATATTAAAATCATATCATTAAAGCATGTTTAAAAAGGATAATTAATGTGTTTACAAACAATAGTGTTGTTTAATTGGTTGTACACTAAAGGTAAATTCCCAAATGGCCAACCTACAGTGTAACAAATATAATTCAAAAGTTCATAATAGCTGATGATTGATTATAAAGTGTGTTTAGCATGCTGTCCCGGAAGAGAGCCCTGCATAAGATCCCTGAGCCCTGTGCTCCCTCTCATTTGCAAGGCGAGAGGGGAGTTTGAGCTCAGGTAGATCTCAAGAACTCCCCTGTTATTTGTAGCTAATGAAAAATTAAGGATTGCTATGAATAGATAACTGCTTACTAGGAGCTTGTCTATGGTGCTGATTTGGATTAGTCAAATTGACTTAATTTGCATGTTTTGGGATGGTGGAAGGAAACCAGGGGACCCAGGGGAAACCCACATGAGCATGCAGAGAACACATAAACGCCGCACAGAAATGTCAACTGACTTGGTACTAGAACCATTGATGTTCTTACTGTGAGGCCATTCCGCCCAGAAATGAGGAGGAGTAGGGGTGGAAGGGGGTATTTTTCAAAATGAAGATGACTGTGATATGGAACTTATTTATTTATAATATTTATGGTGATCATCTGATCGGTGTATCATGATTTAGCTAATGCGGGACAAGCCATGATCAATCATAAGCACATGATCCTTTTAAAAATTATTTTATAATTAAACTTGATGTAAATTAGCATTTTTTTGTATATTGTTTTTCTTTTTTTCCTGTTTATTTATGCTTTTGAATTGCATTATGGGACTTTGATCGTTCAACCAACTACTTTTGACCTTCAAAAGATAGAAAAAGTGACTTTTATTAACATTTTTAAGAGTTTAAAAGTGATTTGGGGTTGTATATTAAAGTACAAAACAGTGTAATAAACTGCCAGTACATTTTCTGTTCCTTCTCTATACATCATTTCTTGTGCATTATATTATTTCTAACTACTAAAATGTCAATAAAAGTCTCTTTGTTAAAAGGTAGAGTTAAATTTTCAACATCAAAAGTCAACAGAGCAGAGATCAACACCCCATAATGCACAACCATAAATAAAAGGAAAACACAAAATGTGGAAACTTTTAATTTAGCAGATTTTTTTTTTACAAGTAGTTAATTAACCTTATATTAAATCTAACACACTCTATTGTTTAGCACACATCAGTGGTATGAAAAAGACCCAATTCATTCCACCATCTAGAAAAAGAGCTATTAAAAAAAAAAAAAAATGAAAAAAAAAATTCCTGGTTCCCAAAGAACCAAATGAGTGAAGTGTCACAGTAACTGCGTGTTAATATTTGAAGGTGCAGGTAAATGTGAGGTCTCATGGCTGAGGAAAGGTAGAGTCAAATGGAACGCATTCAGGCGCTGGATTGGAACAGACCGACCCCATGAAACAAAACGCAAAGGTAGGTTCTGATGGTAGAGTTTCAGGATTTATAAACACAAACAGAAGTTGTTTCATTTTCATTCTATTTACCATCACAGTACCCAAGGTATCTTCAATAAGTGCAAGCAAAAAACATCCAGTAGATGAGAGTCCTGTGGATGTCAAGATGTTTATCCCATATGACTCCGCCAAGCTTTGCATAACTCAAGTATGTAGATATCACTCCTCATGCTTATGCAATATTTTTTTTACTCTGGAGTAGAGTTTGGGAGTGTTCTGCATTAGTCACATGTCTGTCACTCCCTCTGTTGGCCTGGAGCCTCAGGGTGAAGTTAAATGTCTTGTCATGTGCTTTTTGGTTCTTCTGAGAGCAAGGCCTATTATGAAACAACTCAAAGCCACAATTCATACTGATTCTCTGATCAACTTTTATTTTCCCAAATATTTAATCTCCATCAAAAAGGCTTACTAGCCTAGTAATCAACACCAAAGCATACATTAAAGTGGTTGGATTTACCATATCATTTTAAATGTCATGCGCTCCAGAGGTTGCATGTTTACGGCCTCATCCCATAAGAAATATGATATTATGGTAATATATGCAAATTACATACCTATATGGCATATATACAGTTCATGTTTAGATTTCTCATATATAAAATATGTATGACCCACACAGAATCTGCACGTGCAGAAATCTGCAGATTCCACAGATTTTTAACCCATCATTGAGTCTATTTATTTACTTGTGTAAATGTGTGTACATTTTTATTAATTCAGTTTTTTAAATTGATTTCAGTAATATTATTGACTAAAAATGTTCATATGATTTATTTACAATACAGTTTGTAAAGTAATATTTTCGGTTTTGCAGTAGATATTATATAAGAGACTTGCTTTGTTTTTCCAAATAAGTGGTTCTAATGGGATTTGCATTGTAATCATTAAATAAAAGGTAAAAAGGTATTATTTTTTATGTCATATATCATTTTTTTATGTCATAGTTTTTAGTTAAGATACTCCCAAAATTATTCCACATAAATCCACAGATTTTTTACTAAATTCTCTACAGAAATAGCCAAAAATATTCACAGATTCTGTCTGCCCCAATTGGCCCAAAATATAAACATATATATTTTTTTTCAATCGTTGGAATTACTATGTACGTATATCTTCAGATATATTACCTCTAATATTTCTATATGTTCATATATGGCTATTTTTTTCAGATTTCTGTATGGAATAAGTCATTAACTATGTGTAAACACAATAAAATTAGCTAACTAAAATTTACTGTTATTTTTTGTGAGAAACTAAACTTGATTCACTGCTTCGATAATGTCCATCATGGCGATGTTCTTACACATTCTTTGATTAAAAGTTAAAAGGACTTTCTAAAAGAAACTTTGCACCGTCATGCAACATATAGACAAATCCGTAAAAATGTGCTGAAACAGACAACAAAAAGCTGTAGCAGTAAGAAAAACGATTCTTACTGTAAAGACATGAATATATAAAATCAGACATCCTGAAAGCATTTGAAATCCAATATTTCACTTTCATTGACATCCTATGCAACTACACTATAAAATATTGATATTTGTTTTCTGTCATACTTCAGTTAAACTTATTTTTTAGTATGTTTGACTAATGCCAGAGATCACATGATAGGTTTATTTGATTCAACAACAAAAAAATTAGGCATGAGTTTTTTTTTTAAACATTGAAGCAGGTTATGTGACTCCAGTGGCTGAACCTTCATTTTAAGAAGTTAGATTAATTTTTACACAAAAAATAACTGATTTTGTAGGTTTAAAAGTCTCAAAAGTGGTTTTTTTTATTATATATATAAATATATATATATTTTTTAGCATTAATAGTTAACTTCTTTGACAATTCTGGGAATGTACATGCAGAAACTGCTTCAATACTATGTATTTTGGTAAGGCTGTGAATAATACCATGCCAACAGATAACAAACGATATGATTGCCATGAAGAGCAGGCATCAGGAGATGATTCAAGAACTGGAGGAGAACTTTCTCACTGCATCACGTGTTAATCAGGTGATAAACTTATTTTGAATCAGAAAGTATGCAGTGATTTTATGTAAACTTAAGTTTAATTATGTGTCTGTGTGTAGGATAAAACAGCTCATAAAATGAAGACGTTTTACCAAAATAAACTCAGTACTCTGAAGAGAGTCCTAGACATTTACCAGGAAAAGGTGGCCAGAAAAAACGCATTCTGGGAAGAGAAAGTCAGGGTGAGTCATAAAGAGCTTTCTTGATTTTCACACAACGCATTTAATCCTTGTTTCAAGCTCAGTCCTGAACCTAAAACATGATGTAATTATTAGTGTCCTGTACAGTATTACATTTGTATAATATATTGATTGTCTTGTATCATACTGTACTCCTGGAGTCAGACTCTGGAAGATCTGAATGAAAGACTTCAGATGCAACATACAATGCTTCAGGAAAGGAACCAAAATGACTTGGCTTCATGGGATAAAGAAAAGGTATCAAGTTATGGTATTAAATAAGCAACATAGCATATTGTGATGTGTACAGTGCTTTACATGATTACCTATTTAATTGGCTAAAAGCATCCATAAAAACCTTTCCAGAACAAGATGATGGAATTGTTCTCCTCTCGTTTGGATCTCCTTCACAATCACCAGGCATCAAGTAAGAGATCTAGAGGTTAATATTGTTAGATTTAAGAAGAAATGTGATTAAAAAGATATGCATTAATTATAGAGGAGGTTTGAGTAATCTCTCTCTTTACAAGCACTGCAGGAGCTGCATTTGGCCAGGGCAGAGATGGGGAAGGTCCAGGAGATGCTTGAGATCTTGCAGGAGAAGAACGAATCAGAAAATGCATCTGAAGAACAGGTAGAAAATCTGAGAAAATTCACATTCCAGTACTGAAGAACATGTTAATTCTGAAGAGAGCTAGAAAGAAAGACATGTAGTATTTACCAATCGTTGGTTTTCATGATGAGGCATATTTGCACGTGTATTATCTGAGTAATAACCTTAACAGATGAGGACCGAGTCAAATGGCCCACTAGATGGAGCTCAAGCTCGTCTGGAGATTTTGAAGGATAACCTGCAGAAGAGGGAGCGAGAGATTTCGATGCTCATGGAAGGACAAGAGCGTGTGGCAGATCCTGTTGAACAGTCAGCATATGCTCAACTCCTCAGTACTGTCATCCAACAGGTTATTTGGTTTTCTTTTAATATTATTTTTATTGTTTTTGCCTCATTAGTAAAATAAGGTAGCCTAAGTCGTGAAAAAATAAAATGTGACATAATATAAACTTGATTTGTCAATCATAATTCAGACATAAAATTGTGCTTTAATGTGGCTCATTATGCAACTTAAAAAGTACTTAATTTTGCCCTTTATATGCCATACAATACATTACCCACATAAAACATGTGTCAGAGTAATTGTTGGTTCATTCCACTGTGGTGATCCCTAATAAACCAGGGACTGAGCTGAAGGACAGTGAGTAAGTTAGTGATTTACATTCATCCAACGTTAAAAACACTTTAAACACAATTCAAGAGTTTGCGGCACATAGATATGGTTGACACTATTAGAAGGTATGCTGTCCCTGAGCTTGGAGGTAATTGAGCCCAGGCCTCCCACCTGGTCAATTAGCATATAAGGGGGTCCCAAATCAGGTAGCTCCTCCTGGTAAAGGATGTCAAAGGGGGAGATGGGGTGGAAGGAGGGATTATTCCAAAACGAAAAAAAAGGCATTAGGGCGAAATTGGTCTGTTTATTGTAGGCTTGAATCAATCTGATTGGATTATTGCTGATCATAGATGAGAGACCAGCTGTAATCAGTTATATCACATGCTCCTTTCAAAATTAGTTTGTAAAACCACTTATAATACAGTTGTAGCATAATAAATTTCCCGAAGGGTCTGAAAAGTTTCATTCAATGATTTGGTCTTTCTAAGCCCTCCTTAGGTCAAAAGGTCAAGTCTGTTAAGTTTGGTCTACTATTTAAGGCGGGTGTACATGGTGTAAAGTTTGATGGTTGGAAGATTGTCCACGCACACATCACTACGTGATAATCATTCGGATGCAGGGATATATGACAGACACCATTTTAGAATCTGAATTTAAAAAAATGGAAGCAACTGCATGAAATTCCTACCTAAAAATGAGAATGCTTTCAGAGACTTTTTCTATCCCTCGCTTTCTCTATCATTAGAGCTTAATTTTTATACATTAAGGATGCATCAGGAAACCAGGATGTCTGGTCACCCTATGTGTGTAAATTATAAAGTAGTTGTAAATTATAAAGTGCTACATCTCACCTGATAGCTGTAGCTCTTGAGCAATCATCTGTAAAATATAATCTCTGATGGCCCTGTCATGCATGACTTATAAAGTGCTTACTGTTCTCCAAGTAATGTAATGTGTATTTATATAGCGCATATATTGTGTATGGCCATACACCCAAAGCGCACTCACAATCGTGAGTGGGGTCTCTCCACACCACTACCAGTGTGCAGCATCCACTTGGATGATGCGACGGCAGCCACAGGACAAAGGCGCCAGTGGGCTTACCACACACTAGCTATTGGTGGAGTGGAGAGACAGTGATACAGCCAATTCAGTGGATGGGGATGTTTGGGAGGCCATGATGGGTAAAGTCCGATGGAGGGCCAGGACACCGTGGTTACACCTTTACTCTTTACGAGAAGTGCCATGGGATTTTTAATGACCACAGAAAGTCAATACTTTGGTTTAACGTCTAATCCAAAAGACAGCGCCCACTGACAGTGTAGTGTCCCCTTCAATATACTGGGGCGTTAGGATCCACAAGGACCACAGGTTGAGCCTCCTGCTGGCCCAACACAATCTCACGGCAATTCGTAACTTTTTCATTTAGTGGCTAATTCGTATGAATTCGTACGATCTAATTCGTACAATTTGGTACGATTTGCTCATCCCCCAATGACGGTTGGGGTTAGGTGCCACGCCTTTTTTTTTAAATCGTACCATTTTGTACGACTGAACTCGTACGAATTCGTATGAATTAGCCACTAAACTTGCAAAACGTAAAATACTTACGTTTTCTCGTGAGATCAGGCTGGCTGGACTCACTAACACCACTTCCAAAAGCAATCTAGCTTTCCCATGTGGTCTCCCATCCAAGTACGGACCAGGCTCAGCTCTGCTTAGCTTCAGTGAGTAACCAGTCTTGGGCTGCAGGGTGATTTAGCTGTGGTAAGTGATTTGGATGGTCAACTTCAGATTGATCGATAGAACAAGTCATTTAACTGCACATGTTCACGAATTAAAGCAGACGGCTTCCTAACTAAAATAAATAACGAATAAATAAATAAATAAATAAATAAAACATTACAAATGATTGTAAGCTCATACAGTAGGTTACTCTGATGGTACAAGCCACAGTCATAAAAGATTAAGGGCTTTACATGTGTTTGCTCCCAATGGTAAGAAACCACGTACAAGCTCGCACAATAGTAAAAATTGTACTGTGTACACCAGCCTTTACAGCACATGTCTGAAATGATATGCCCATTGTAATATCTGAATTTAAAGAGTTGGTTCACTTGAAAATTAAAATCCTGTTATCAATCACTCAGCCTTGTGTCATTCCAACCCCTGTAGAAAACACGCATGCTAATCTGATGTGGAACATATAAGCGAACAAACTCATTTTCACAATACTTTTAGCTCAAAAAAGTGTTCTTGGAGCTTCCTATAATTACAATTCATTTAAAGTATCTTTATTTGTGTTCTGAAGGTGAATTAAGGTTTTAGAGGATGGAAACAACATAAGGGTGGGAAATAAATAACAAAACTTTTATTTTTGGGTGAACAAGCCCTCAAAGGCTGAGCAAACAGTAATAAAAATGGCAAGGATTGAGCTGGTTTTGATTTTTGAAACTTTTCATACCTTCTAAACAGTAAATGAAGGTTAATAAACATAATGAGCTTAGAAAGCAGCTTTCTTTGATTGTGTATTCCAGGCTCATCAGGTTTACGCTGAGCTGACAGAGGCTAAGCAGCAGTTTGACCAAATGGCAGAAGACAACAAGAAAATTCTGGCCGAGATTAAAGAAAGCCTTGACCAAACAGTAGTAGAGTCCAACCAGAAGAATCATGAGGACCAAGAGTACGTGAAGTAGAAAATGTCAGATCATGCATTGTTTCTTTTGAGTCAGAAGATTGCTTAAATCTATCAAACTATGAACATATACGCATCTGCTAACTGATTCATGTTAACTCAGGACAGAGCCACAAATCAATGATGGATCCCAGGCCAGTTTGCTCAATCATGAGGTCAGACAGCTAGCTTTGGAGTGCATCAGATCAGGGGCTAAGCCTACTGTCATTGGTAAATATAGGAAATTAGTAGCTATGTACTTTAAATGATCAATGGTGTCTCTTTTGGAAAGATGTATTGTACATATTGTAAGTTCATGATGTGTTATTCATAGAAACTGATGCAAATGAGGCATGGACAGCAGAGATGGATGAAGCAGTCAAAGTAAATTCATACACACTCATTTTATTTAGCATTCATTCTTCCTTAAGACTAATGTTTACCCTTTATGTTTTAGAAATTTGAGGAAGAATTCCGTAAGAATGGATTCCTAAGTTCTGATAAAAGTGTTGGGCAGCAGCTGTTATTACTGCAGGCTGAGGTGAAACCGCTAAGACAAAAATATTTTCTATTTTATGATCTTAACAATTATTTGACTGAATAAATTGATTGAAAGTGGTTGAACTGCTCGGAATCTTATGGTACGTTCTTATGTTATCTGTATGTCTAGTTGAAGCAAATAAAAGATGAAAACAAAAAGATTATTGAAAACTACACAGCTGAAAGGACCCTGAGGAAGAAGTACTACAACATGGTGGAGGACATGAAAGGCAAAGTATACCACATCCTTACACTTTGAGCAAAGACAGAAATGAGTTTATGTAACAACTGCTGCCAGACACAACATGAACTGGAATAGCCCTTTTTTGGGTATGTATAATTTATTTTGAGGCTTTGAGCCAAATATCTCCAAGACCCTTGATTGGTTTCCCAGAAATTCTTGTTAACTATTTTGATAATTTCTATTCGTATCCAACAGTAATACAAATGAGTGCCAAAAAGACTGAAAACTACAGGCATTTTTGCCCATGTAGGGTTTTGAATTATTTGCAAGGCCTTCTCTGTGCACTAAGACTGCATTTATTTGATCCAAAGTATGGCAAAACAGTAATGTTTAAAAAAAAAAATTTACTATATAAAATAGCTATTTTTTGTTTGAATATATTTTACATTGTAAAAAAAAAATCATTGTGATATTCTAATTATAAATTTAAAATAAATACATTGTATTATTACTGTTGAAAAGCTTTTTTTATTAAAAACATCATTTTTTTAACATTATAAATGTTTTTATTATCACTTTTGATCAATTTAAAGCTTCATTGTTAAATACAAAAATAACAATTTCTAAATCCATATTTTAAAGATAGTGTATAATGTTATGAAAATATTTTAATTCAGATTAATGATGTTTTTTGGATCTTTTTAATAATAATAATAATAATAGTAATATTACATTTTATTTATAGTGCGCTTTTCTCAACCACAAAGCACTATAAGGCATACAAGGTGAACAGTAACAAGCAAAACAATAAAAAAAAATTAAAAACACCACAATAAGACAATAAATATGCACAAAAAAATTTAATGATTACATTAACAAAAATAATCAACCTAAATTGAAAGCAAGTTTCTTAAAACAGTCCAGAGAAGTGGCATTCCTGATGCTGATGGGTAGACCATACCATAGCTTGGGTGCACTGTACGAAAAAGCTCTACCACCCACAGTCTTAAGTTTACAGTGTAGCTGATACAGAGTAAGTCCAGATGAAGAACGAAGATTGCAGGTGGGAGTGGCGAGAGTTACCAGGTCACAAATGTAGTCAGGTGTTAGCCCACGCACTACTTTATATGTTAAAAATAATATGTGACTTAGCAGGAAGCCAGTGAAGTTGCTGAAGTATAGGGGTGATATGGTGGTGAGAGAAAGAGTGTGTCAAAACCTGTGCAGCGGAATTTTGAATTTCTTTATTTATCAAAGAATACTTAATAATAATAATAATTATTAGTAGTAATAGTAGTATTATTACTAATACTTTTATAATAAATGTTTATTAAATAGCAAATCAGCCTATTAAAATGATTTTCAAAGTATCATGTGACTGGAGGAATAATGCAGAAAATTCAGCTTTCAAATCAAAGAAATAAGTATAATATTTTTTGTATATTTTGTAAGTTTCTGCTTTATTGCTAGGTAACTATAGGCTTTTTCACACTGCTTTTAACCATGAGTTATTATCATTCTATTATCTGTTTCATAACTCCAGGTAAAAAAGAAGGGCTTAATTTTACACATTTTAATTTTTTCTAATTTCACACTGCTTTACACATTTAAAATTGTTAACCCTACGTCATCCTAGACCCTAGAAAAATGGTATCTTAGGTAATCTGTAACCATGTTTTTTACACTGCTTATTATACCTAGGGTAAACTGTTAAGCCTGGGTATTCTTTTACGTTGATTATTTCTAAACCCTGGGATAACATTCATATTTGCATATTTGCAGTACCATTTGCAGACAACCTGTTTACACAATATGCATTGCCTGACATGACAGGAGTATCCCTGCTGAATTCCTGATCCAGCAGGCTCAAAAACAAACTTCACACTACAATGCTCCGTGATGTGAAATGCTTCTTTAACCAGGGTTAAAAGTAGTGTTTAGAACAACGATGACCTGAAGTCACATGCAGTGTGAAAAGCCTGACTTTGTTTGGTCTTATACAGGTAAGATCAGAGTATTCTGTCGAATAAGGCCACTAACACGTGCGGAGCAAGCAAAAAAAGGCCACATCACTGTCGCTTGTCTGGATGATTACTCTGTGATCCTGGAGACGCCTCGAGGACCTCGCGAGTTTCAGTTTGACAAGATCTTCAACACAGAATGTACACAGGAAGAGGTCTTCATTGAGTCCAGTGGGTAAGAGTGATACTGAAATGCACACGCTATACATTTAAATGTATTTGTGATAAGTTAAAGAAATAGTTCACACCAGAAAATGTAAAGTCACTTCAAACTATACCGCTACTTTCTTTTTTTCTGTGGAACACAAAAACAGATTGAATTTGTTAATAACATCCTGGGTGCTCTGTTCCATTTAATTAAAGTCTGAAGCTCCCAATTTATTATAATTTTAGTGCAACCACGATGATGAAGGCTGTGATAACTGAATGTGAAGACTATTTGAATCAACTTTGATTGAACTAGAACTACACCTGCGTTCCACCCCTACTCTCCTATCTGCCTATTATGCTGGAATTTTTCCAAAATCTGAATTCTCTTTTTTCATATAAGCTTCTTTGGCCCAATCTTCATTGTAAACAACACTTCCAAAATGAAGATTGAAGTTTGAGTTAAAAAGTGAAGGGTTTCCTAATTTGGGGCACACATTGAAGGCACAAAATGTACACTGTAAAACCCAACAGTCAACTTTATCAACTGAAATGAGTGCAGTTAACTCAAAATTTACATACCTTATAACTTCAACTTAAATGTAGTAAGTTTACAGTGCTCAAATAGATTAGATCAGTGGTTCTCAAACTGTGGTACGTGTACCAGTAGTGGTACGCAGGCTTCCTTCTAGTGGTACGCGTAGGAATGCAATATGTCATGTACATGCTACACACATTTCAAAATTTATTAAAAATGATGTATATAATATGTTATATATGACATATAGCCTATATTTCTGATGTAATCTACCATGTTTTTTTTTAACTGTGCAGAGTTGTAGCTGCTTTACTGGGCCTACTGCGCTACTGTATTTTAATACTGCTCATTTTGGTGGTACTTGGAGAGACAATTGTTTTCTGAGGTGGTACTTGATGAAAAACGTTTGAGAACCACTGGATTAGATCATATAGGGTTGTTGCAATCGGTTTCCACATTTGGTTTAAGTTGCCTTAACTTATTGGGTTTTACAGTCCTGAATTGGTTTGAGTTCTCTTTATTTATTGGGTTTTACTGTGCTCAAATTGTTTCGTTTACTCAAATGGAATAAGTTCACTGTACTCATTAGCATTAGTTTTTGAACTTAAATAGTTTGTTGCAATCAGTTCCCTCAAATGGTTTGAGTTACCCTAACTTTTGGGTTTTACAGTGTAGGTATTTATGTAATTATTAGGTCTATTCTTACACTCCTGGGATTATGACATTGACAGCCGAAAGAACATTAGCAGATACAGTAAGTTATGAAATGTCTCAAAGACAGAGAATAGTCTTAACATCAACCACAGCAAATGTTAAAACTCCAAACTATTACTTAAACTGTTTACATTTGGACCCACTATTATGCTAACTTTTCCAATGTAAAGGCAGGGAAATCGTTCATTTACTGGTGAGGAGAACATCCACTCAAACAAGTCATTCTGTGAAATTTCACCTTAATATTTAAAAATAAGAACTTCTGGTATGTAAGCCTGGTTTTAATTCTGACATTTTGTTGTGAACCAAATATCAAACTTTTGATTTTTTAGATTTATATCCAGGGGTGGGATTAAACCAAAAAGCGTAGTAAGCAGCCACTTAGAGCTCCAGGAAATTTGGGGCTACGGTAAAAGTATAAATTATACACATCGCTTTCTTTTTTGGCGTATTTTGTATGCTGAGGATCTCACAAATTACATTTTGACATAATTATAAAATCTACGCACATTTGTCTTACACCCTCAATCACGGAGCAGCCCAGAAGTCGATCCGGTAAAGACTCAGTTTATTATTTTCAATTTATTTTAACATTTTTTTAGTTGTGAATTAATTTTAAGAAAAATCTTTTAAAGTGTAGAGATTTCATTAAGATAAAACATGGAGAATTAGATTCAGTGATATAACAAAATAAAATAATTTTTTTTAAAAACTGAAAAAAAAAACACAAACGTGTTGGCGCGTGTTTCCTCTGGGTGCCCTGGTTTCCCCCACAAGTCCAAAGACATTCGGTAGGGTATTCGGATAGGTTGCAGTTGTGGCAATTCCAGATTAATAAAGCGACTAAGCTGAAAAGAAAATTAATGAATAGGTTAATTTAAAAAAAATGATCAAAATACAAAGGGTGCATTTTAAGACTGCTGGGCCCCCAAATCACTAAATCCATTCCTGTTTATATCAGATATATATATGAGCAGGAGATGCTAAGATGTACATTATCTCTAGGTTGATCCAGTGTGCGATTGATGGATTTAATGTGTGCATTTTTGCATACGGCCATACGGGTTCAGGGAAAACCTTCACAATGGTTGGAGACAGAGATCGGAGGAACCCAGGACTCATTCCCAGAACATTCACCAGGATCTTTGAGATCATCCAGGATAACGAGTCTAAATTTGAGTTTAAGGTGCTTTTACGTTTATCATTTACTGTCTTGTACTGAACAGACGTACAGTTAGTCTTTAAACTTATTTTTTTTGTCCAACCTCAGGTTTCAGCCTACATGCTGGAGCTCTACAATGACCGCCTGCAGGATCTCTTTGTGAGCCCAGCTGAAGCTTTCAACAAGCGAATCGAAATTAAGAGGGACAGAAAGGGACTTGTGTTCGCCCAGGGAGCTGAGACAAAGGACGCAGCCAGCGCCGGCGAACTCTTCGCATTATTTGAGCAGGGCTCTGCAAACCGCCACATTGCAGCCACAAGTACGTGCTTAATGAAACTTCAAAAGTCCCTGTTAAATGGTTTGGATTAATTGCTTCAGTTAAACTCAGTATGAATGCATGGTCAGAACATGATGACCGGGCACTGATGCCAAACTTCGACACAAGGAGGAGGTCCTTGAGTTTAAATCTGTAATGCTCTTTGAAAACAGGCCTGAATGAGTGATTTGAAGTTATAAAGAGCATGAACATTATTAAACGTGCAGTAGCCTATGTAAAATTGACAGGGTGACACGGTGGCTCAGTGATTAGCACTGTTGCCTCACAGCTGGTTCAAGTCCAGGAGGGGCCAGCTGGCATTTCTGTGTATAATTTGCTATGCGTAGTGCACATTTTAAAAGTGGAGGGGACAGCTGTATGAGATCCAAAAGTTAAATTCATATAATTATTAATCACCTGTTTCTAAATGATTCGTCTTTAAAAGTGAGGGAGACATATTACCCCTT